AGAGATGATTTATTTAGTTAATGATATGGAATATTATTGACTATAGAGGTCTCACAAATAAATATATTTACACCTATAGGGACAGAATAACAAAAAACCAAAATACAAATGAACAACGTTCTCCTTAACAACAACAACAACAACAACAACAACAACAACAACAACAACAACAACAAAACAACCGAATAACTAACAGATCTCTGTTATAGCGGAATAAACATTTAATTTTCCAGTTAGGAATACTTTTTAAATTAATTGTAAGTTAGCTACTACTTAAACATGATATTATCATTGACAACATCAAGTATTAATCCGCCCGCCCCCCCTCCCACTTGAGTAAAGACTAATGAATTGTAAATATTTTAATTTCTTTTGATGAACGGAAAATCCTAATGAAAAGAGAGAGAGAGAGAAGTGGGGAGAGGATATGGGAGAATGAAATTGACGTGTCTAAATGAAAGTCAACCTGACAGAATCTAATAGGTAATAGGAGAGAGGTTAAGTCTAAAATTGTTTGTTATATACATATCATAAGTTGATTAGTATGAGACTATTTTATTAGATGAGGACAATATGAGTGATGAGAAGGATGTATGATAGACAAAAACTCAGAGTGATACATTTGAATAAAAACCGAAAAAAAATAGTTAAAACATTGAAACAAAGATCGAACACAATTGTCTCGCAGCAAATATATAATATTTTTTAAATAGTTGAGATCATCAGTCAATTGAAGCTAGACCACCATGGAAAGTCCGGAAGCACTGGGTCTGTTGTGAGATAGTAACGTACTGAAGACAATGATTGATGTGTCGCTCAATGTCGTGGATTGTTTGGAGTTAGACAATATGTAGACAAAATAATCGTGATGGGACTACAATTTTCGCGGCTAACCTTTGATGATGATGATGATGATGATGATGATGATGATGATGATGATGATGATGATGATGTACCAAATATTTTTTCCTGTTTAAAAGCCACATTTAAGTCAAACACGAAAGAATCTGTTTTATTGAAAACCTGGAAGCGGTAAATGACCGCTTCGTTTTATTATGGGACTCCTCAGCAGTGCGCATCTACGATCCCGCACACGGGATTCGAACCCAAGACTTAATTCACATCCTTGAAATGATTTTTGCCGTTATCTGATTGGTCGTTGCTCTTTTCTTTTGCTTATTAAATTCATTATGTACCCCAAGGTTACTGAATGCTGCTAAATAAACAGTTGTTCTATTTCAATCTTCGAATTCTATTAGGAATATAAAACTATTCTGAAAGTTATACCTTCTTTATCTCATATTAGTCATTTGCTGTTCCATCAAGTTCGTCTTAGAACACGTTCACATTAGAAGAACATCTGAAAATGTAATAATTTACATTTATGCGTGTATAATATGAGTAGGTTTGCCGGTTGTTAATGACAGTACCTCTGTTACGGTATAAATAGGAATAGCTATGGAAATCTTTGAATCAATTAATTTATTTTCATTATTTATCTAATTCATACTCTCGATGATAACAATAATATCAAAGAAGGATACAAAAATCAGTGCTTGAAGTCACTAACTTCTAGTCTGAGCCATGTTGGTAGATGCAGACTACTTGGTTGGAGTCCGCGTCACTATCGTAACCAATGGTTGAAAACTGTGAGTGGAATGGCTCAGAATCAATCACAATGGAGTAGGTGTATACATTCTCTATCTTCCCTTAAACTAAGAGATTAAAATCACTTCATATCTTTCTTTCTACGAACTAATTCTTCCTTCCTGTACTATATCCTTATTGCAATCCTTCTTTTATATATTACTACCATTGAATTAACTACTTTTATGAATCCGCTGTCCATCTTGTTGTGTTAATGAGGTATGGCAACTTGGACCGATGCATCTATGTGCCTGGTCCTACGTTGTTACTGTCTGACCGACTGACAAAAATTAAATGACAATAAACAATAATATTTTGTATACCTGTGGTTTACTAATGTCCCAAAGTTGATATTTTAAGAACTGATCAATTTCAGTCCTGGATATATCAACAGGGGGTGAGGAAGGTGAAATTACAAACGCTTATTAAGAGATTCATTTACCTGTTGAACAAATTAGTGGTTATTTATCTAATCAGTAACTTAGTGAATAACGCGTTGGTGTTCAAAATGATAGACTAAAAGTTTCAGTTTCTTTGTAATTATCAACATTAAAATATCCAAGTTACATTCATTTGATTAGTCCTAAACAGAACGAAATGAACACATCTTGAATTCCACTGTCAGTAACTATTCAAATGTTCACTGTCACATTAAAACACACACACACACAGATACATATGTTTAGAATTCTTTGTATAAAAGTGTGCATGTGTGTGTGTTTGAGGGGGGGGGTTGCAATGAAAGTAGATTGGGTATTTTTTTTTTACAAAATAATAAATTCTCCCCTTCTGTAATTATCCTGAATGAGAATAGAGAAACAAAAAATTAACCTCATTTATTTAATCTTTATTTCAATTTTAATTAATTTCAATGTTTCACTATTCGATCTATCTTAAGGTTAATCATAATTGATCTGATTGACTGATATTCATATCGGATACTTACTTATTTTAAAGTGAAGCAGTGACAATAATAGCGCTTACGTAACCTTTTTTTTAACCTTGTGAATTATTGGTCTGTGGATTTGTACCCTATTCCACCTATTTTATGGATTGGAATCATGGGTCAGTTGAAGCTAGACCACCATGGAAAACCTGGAAGCACTGGAAGGCCGTTTCGTCCTAGTATGGGACTTCTCAGCAGTGCGCATCCACGATCCCACACCCCACAAGATTCGAACCCAGGACCTATCAGTCTCGCGCCAGGCGTCAGGATGCACACTGCTGAGGAGTCCCATACTAGAACGAAACGGCCGTCCAGTGCTTCCAGGTCTAGCTTCAATTGACCCATGATCCCAATAAAAAAAACTTAACAATCTCCACAACCCTTAAACTGATAATCACCTATTTTAGCCTGAGCGGTTTGTTAGATAGTACAATTGACTTATAAGAAGTCAGTTATGGCCCTGATCATTCAATGGTAAAGTTTAAGACTGTAAAGCTAAATGATGTTGATTCGAATTTCACATGGAGAATCAGTTCACCTTATTGACGAGTGCCAACTAATACGAAATTCAAATTGGGTGGAGTTTCCTGTCAACTATTTTTGATTATAACAAATGACCGACTGTAGTAGAATATTTGCTCCTTTTGGTAGTAGTCATACAGGATTCAGGATAGTGAAATCAAGATGATACTACTTCATCCCGGATAAACTCGTCATATTGAAATACGAAACAATTGTTAGAATTAATTCTATAGAGGTCTTTTAACTTTGAAAATAGTGAATAATTATTTAATATTCTTATTAGTACAGGGCGTGTGTGTGATTTTAAAATATTGAGGGTTTAAAATATGGAATGACCTGAACTATACCATCATTAGAAACTTGGACGGCCGTCTCATCGTAGTATGAAACTCTTCAGGAATGTATATTAGCGAACCCACACCCGGTCGCCGAACTCGTAACAATCGTTTTCGCGTGAGAATGCCTAAACGCCAGGCTCTTGATTAGGCATCCAGTGGTGTTAGTGTCTAACCATTAAGAGTAGAAAATACTCGTAAGTTACTAGTATCTGATCACAGATGTCTTAGAAATATTGTTCGCATCTGCTGGGATAATCGGGCCACTTATTACGTATGCCTGAACTACGATTACCACGACGCGCAGTGCTAACTAATTGACTGACTGACTGATTCCAAATATAAGGAGGGGGGGAATTGCATAAACAAGAACCTCTCAAAGATTAGCAATATAATGTGTTACTATAAATAATAATGTAATCGTAATTTGATAACAATATTCAGTTGTGACAGTTCCTTTTGGATACTATTAAAAATAATTAACAGTTAGATTAAAGCGAATTTCACAGAAGTAATCAATGAATTTCCTGATTGTTAAGCTCATTTCAAAACGATTAATGCAACCAATTATAGAGTAAGTTATAAATACAATAAGAAAGTATATTAATGCCGTAGTGTTTAATGGATTCGCTTCTTGATCGGTCAGTTGTAAATTCTAAAACTTTATCTATCTAACTTTACAATTTGACTAGGTAGACTATATCACTAGAGTGAATATATACAACACGGCTCGAAACACCTAAACACTGAATAACCTTATCAATGATTATGTGTTACAACGTTCAGATATGAATAAGTTTGCATTCATTTTATAAGGATGTTATTTTATTTATTTATTTAAACACAAACATTGGTACAAGGAGGCACCAAATAGATATGCGCCACATAAATCATTCGACTTGTGTGAGGACAGTGATACTGCCCGGGTGCCCAGACCGAAGCAAGTGGTTATCTTAGGGGGGCCACACCCCGAGCCTTTGACCTTAAGGTCTGATCCACAAGGCAGTGGAGCACCGTGAGGAGATGTAGTCTCATGGTAGCCGGTGACCAAAAATTGGTTCATACGCCATTTGTTCCCGCAGGATACTGGAGCCCATGTGCACCATTGGTTTGGAATCCGGTTAAAGCACCGGACATTCGCTTTTCGTCCTCTCAATTTCGTAAGCAACAACCGCGCCACGAGAAGGCAGTGAGTAGGACTTCCTCGGCAGATGCTGTATACGCGTGGCCATGTGAGAGCATTTGGAGAGGGAGGGTGGGTCCACCCCACTCTTGGCGATACCAGGGCATTTGGGGGCATAAGGATGTTACATCCAAGAAGTAATGTGTTTTTATGTATGTGTATGTGTATGAGCCAGTTGGTGACAATTGTGTAAATTACCATGGTTATTTAATGAAGATAAATCAACCAATTTGCAAAGCAGGCTTAGAGATTTACAACTTAATGATAATCCATACTCTATCTGAAAATGAATTTTGTTACGCTTGACTATATGCTGTTCTACAATTATTACTATTATTAATCATTCTTTGTTTTTTTTCTTCTAAAGAATGATGAACGTTGTAGCGCACTGACTACTGATTCAGCTAGAAGTAGTCCAATGTTACATACTACTACAATCAATAATACTAATCGTAGTGATAATTCCTTTAATCATTCAAGTCCTGGTCCCAATTCTTCACCACTTGCTCAATCCTGTACACGTCCATTGTCTGTATTCACTGATTTCTCTAGTTCGAATAGTAACAACAATACTATTACTACTAATAATAATAACATTAACGGAAGTAGTATTGGAAGTGGAATTACACGCCGTAAATCAGATATTGTAGATGCTACTCCTGTTAGTACTACTGATAACATGAAAATAAATTCGTCTACATCATCATCACCTCATAATTATTATACAACTAGTGAGATCAATGCAAATATATCAGTTACATCAGATTCATTCCCGACGCAGTCAAAGTTGACTGACACCAGAGCCGAAACTCCGTCTACCATACCAGCTAGTGACCCTTCATTATGTGATACTACATCTAATGTCACTAACTCTGTTGATAAGAATAAAAATGATAATATATCTATTAAAATCTGTCGCAATATTGACACTACTAATGATAATAATCAAACATTAAGTAGTATGCACAATCCTTCATCTTTTACATCGAATGCAATATTGAATAATTTCGAAAAAAGTCACACATCAGAAACATGGATTATTTCACATTCCCCCACCTCTTCCTCTTTCTCCTCTTCCCAACCACCATCCCCACCACCACCATTAGCAATGACGATAACAATGACAACAACACCAACAACAGTTGTTTCATCGCAGCTAACATCGAATAACTTGCCCTCTTCATCATCATCATCATCATCATCATCATCAATACAATCTTCAGTAAAGTCTCCACTGATGATGTCATCAACTACTACCTCAACATTGTTACCTGCCACCACCTCCCTTTCTCTCGCCTCCTCTGCATTGTCATCCTCATTAGCGACAACATCATTAATCCCATCTAGTCAATTGTATACGACGTCGTCGACTACTACTACTACTACTACTACTACTAGCAACACGGCGTTTCCAACAATTCTACCGGAACGACGATGTACCGGTGTCAATACTCTACTAGATAATTCCAAGGCTACATTAACTGAACCAGATTTATTAGGACCATGTGAACCGGGCACTACAATTTGTTTAAATGGAATTGTTTGGTTAGAGACTACAACTGGTAAGTTTTTTCACTTCTATTAAATTGATTAAATGAATAGTTTGCATCAAAATAAATCAATTTTAGTTTCTAATTATTATAATTATTGGTAAAGATGTTACATTTAATAAACATAACATGTACACATTCTGAATTACATTATTTCTTGTATAGTTATTTAATTTACTGTTGTTCGAGTCGTGCGTACAGAATTGTGGAGGCACACTGCTGAGTTGTCCCATATTAGAACTAGACATCCTTCTAGTGCTTCCACATTTTCAATGGTGATCTAGCTTACATCGACTCATGGATTCACTTCGATATGTATCTTATTCTCTTGTTCCATACGGTAAATTATTTTCTAATAGAGATAAGGTTATTACAAAAGATTCAGTCATTATAATTGTAACGATCGAACAACCAGTATTCGGTTGGAACACCGGACTGACGAACCAAAATTTATTTGATTAGACTAGACCACGTTCCTCTGTATAGCTCACAACGCGTTTTTGAGATACTCGTATTATATTATATCAAAACACAAACTCTGTGCTCAATATAAACGGTTCTAATTTAGAAAACAGAACAAATTCTATCAAAAATACAAATATACCTCAAACGGTACAGCTTGTGCTATACAGTCAGAAGTTTCTCTAACGCAAAGTAGCGCGCTAAACAATGAAAGAGACAGTTAATACTAAAGGGTTTGATACCTGAGAATCAATAAACATATTCCCAACAAGATGGGATCAAATATCTATCCGCAGGGATTCCAGCGATCCTCCCAAGCAGACACTCAAGAGGTTAACAATCACGCACTGAACCACGCCGTGACCTTGAGCTTAGTCAAACACGACCTTACTGTCAATGGTCCGGCAACATCCAAATGAAAATTAGGTAACAAAAGATAAGTCTTTAATCAAAATCACATAATAAAGGCTGAAACGAGGAAGACTGAAGAACAAAAGGTGTGGTTAAACGAGATCTGAACAAAGGTTAAGATACACAACAGGGAGAAGGAACAAATAAATGACAATACTGTTCAACAAAGAAGCTGCAGAGGGATTTTCATCGTTCTCTTTCCGTTACAATAATATTACCATGGTTATTCGAATCTATATCCATAAGTAATAAAAATAGTCTAATTGTATCGTTGTCTGTACTCCACTATATTTTATATAATTGCATTAGTTATATAAATGTCCTACTGTCTATCTGTCTACCCATCTCGGAAATAACTTCTCTTTGTTTAAGAATACCACGTTTAATATCTTACTCATTTTTACCTCCAACTCAACATACATGACTAGAATACATGACCTATTAGTTACAACGATGTCTTTTTTGAAAAGAATACGAATGAGCTTGAATATATAAACTGGACTTATCACAAGATGATGTAAGATATCGTTCGAATTCCATGGAGATTGTAAATACTTTTTGTTAAATAAAGCTGCCTGTCAGTTGTTCCTAACTAACTAACTAACATGACAGAGTGAGTCAAAATGTCAGGGTTTCTTTTTTCAGAATTGTAATGACTCTAAATTCTAAGTTGTTCCATACAGTTCAACCATAGTTAAGAGCCAATCACACAATATGTGACCGAATGCCATTCACTGATGGCCTACGTCAATTCCTTGGCCAACAGATGAAATATTTGAGCTCACTGACCACATCACTTGTCTTTGAAGTCCTTTCAAACCTGATGAGAGTTGTTGCTGACGAAATTTCAATACGTATATAGAGAACTCCTCTGGCTTTTGTCCAGCTTTCGTCAATTAATTCATAGGAGAAATACCCTCCTACCAGTCGAATGTTGAGTATACTGTGCAGCAGTTTACCCTGTACTACTTAGTGACTATGAAACAGGGTACATATAGATGCAAGAAATGTGTAGGTTGCAAATTTTTAATCTCATGTGTCTTTGAAGGATTGTTCACGTATCATGAGACGGATACATGCAGTTTTCGTGACCAATGGTTGGCAACGCTAGGCGATGTGGCTTAAAACCAGTCACAGTGGAGCAGATAAATTCAATCTTTGTCTTCCTTTAGGTTTTTAATTATAGTATCCTTTCATATACGCCTTTTCATTATTCCTTTCGAAGCAATTTTTTAAATTTTTATTCCTTCCACTGCAGTTATTTCAACTACTTTGTTATTCATTTTGTTAACTTCCTACTTCACTGTATTGATATGGTATGGTAACTTGGTTTAATACAAACTTCTGTTAGACTCAACGTTGTTCATGATTGATTGTTTGTGTGATCCGCTTTCAGCTACTCCGTTAATGTATGTAATACTTTATGATACTAGCTGGATGCTCAAACTGAAGTAAACGGAAATGCGCTCGAACATGCGATTCAGTAGTCAAAAGCCGAATAATATAATCATTAAACCATCACTGATCAATCGAAATTGATATCTTGCGTCTTATCTTACATTAGTGGATATAAAACTCACTAAAAAAGAATCAGATCGATTTGAGAGTACATGTAGAGCTCATTCATAAATATATATTTCTCTCCCTCGGAAGATAAAGAAGCATTTTCAACCAACAAGTCTTTTTCCTCAGAGAGTCAAGTCAAGTCTTAACTAATAGTATACAACCATCAGCGTGACTTATTTATCGTTTGGTCTATGTCTGACTGACCTAGGGTATCATCCTCCTTCATCTGAAAAAATCATCATACCTCTACAACTCTTACAATCAAGAAAATCTATGCATAATCATTAAACTGGACTTTTAAATCATCCCTTTTTAAACAAACCACATGAATAATTAAAATCACATATCAATTGATAGTTGGTCACAGAGAGAGAAAATGGGAGAGAATCACCTCAGGAGAATCGTTTTAAAAAAACGAGATTGTTCTACCATTTTTCTCCCGATTAATTGTAGTTAACTATGTTTTACCATTATTTTTAAATTTTATCAGAAGGGGGTTTTGTGGAGATTTAAGTAATTTAATAGTTGAATTCATGAGTCGATTAAAACTAGATCACCATGGAAAACGTGGAATCACTGGATGGTTATTTCGTCTTAATATAACACTCCTCAGTAGTGCGCATCCACGATCCTGCCTCGTGAGATTCGAACCCAGCACCTATCAGTCTCACCTGCGAGTGAACGCTTAACCGGTCAGCATTCAACCATGTTAATGTCTAAATTCAACTAATCCACAAAATTCAGCCACACATCCACCACTGTCTTCAGTGAGTTACTATCTCACAACAGACCCAGTTGAACTCCACTGGTCACGACTTCTCACTAGAACTCTAGGAAATACCTCTTGATGCTAGTCACTAGTGAGCATATGTTCATTAGTATCAGAAGGGAGTAGTAGTATTAGTATTGTCGTAATTTTGTTTGGAATTTGTAATCTATATGGGTAATTTAAAGAAAACATTTAGTTTTTGTTTTCTTTATTTTATTGATTTCTTCTCTATGACTCTAATCAGTCGCCTTGTTTTGCATTATAACCATGTTTAAAAATCATCAGCTGATTTAGGGTGTTTATCATCCATAAAAAGGTATGTGTGTGTGTATGTGTATGCATTTATGTATGTACAATATTGCTCAGATAGGCCGAGTGATTGTGAAAGAGCGACAGAGAGAGAGAGAGAGAAAGCGAAAGAAAGAAGGATGGATATACACCATTGGTAGTAGTGGTACTATTAATAGTAGTAGTAGACAGTCCATTAACGTTACGTTTTATATTAAATATGAAAATGACGCAAAATGAAAAATCAAATAGATCTAAACTGAAACCATAAATTGTTTCTTTTTGTTTCGATGTTTAATTTTGAAAGTTTTACAGACAAGTTAATCAAGTTATGGGTGGTGAAGTACCTAGGATAATATTGGTTTCATACTAGATGTCACCAACCTGGTGTATCTCTAGTTTCTTGGAGACCAATACTCCCCATAGAATTCGAATCGATGCTATCTAATATGTCTTAGTCATAAACATTCAGTTAGTCTGTTATAATTAACGTAGTCAGTCAGTCAGCTAAAATGTAGGACCAGGCACATATATGCATCGGTCCAAGTTGCCACACCTTACTCATTAGCACAGCAAGATGAACACCGAATTCATAGCAGTTAATTCAATGGTGGTAATATATAAAAGAAAGATTTCATATAAGGATATAATACAAGAAGAAAGAATTAGTTCGTAGAAAGAAAGATGTGGAGCGATTTTAATCTCTTAGTTTAAGGTAAAACAAAGAGTGTATACACCGACGCCATTGTGATCGACTCTGAGCCATGTCACCAAGAGTCTCCAACCATTGGTTACGATAGTCACGCGGACCCCAACCAAGTAGTCTGCACCTAACAACATGGCTCAGACTAGAAGTTAGTGTTTTCAAGCACTGATACCACGTTTTGGTTTGGTCGCCCCTAACTTTCTTCCAACCATCCTCAAATAATTAACGTAGAGTGTGACATAAATTTGTGTTAACTTATGTTATCATATCAAATTAACACGATGACTAGCAAACGAATCGAAATAATGTAGTAGCAATTATAATGAGAACGTGGTTCAAAATGATAAAATGAAAAATGTTATATAGCGGAATATTAAAATCCAAGATCTAGTGTCATAGTTACATAAATATGATCACTGACAGGTTAGTGATTAACCCCTTCTAATTCCAAAAAAACATGTTAGTCATTTTCTAGGTGTACTTAGTATAACATGACATCAATATCATCTTACATTCATCACCCATAAAGATTGTACTTCATTAATTAAACTCGACATTACTAATATTTTCAATAAACGGAAGTTGTAATATCTATGATTATTATTATTATTATTATTATTAATGGCTTTATTCAATATTATATTTTGGTACAATATAGAATTCTCAGCACGGGGTATTTCAACAAGTTACTTACTGAACAACGAACAAAAAAGGCAGTAGCGAATACATAAAGAAATATATAAAATAAAAATTTAAAAAAAAAAACCCAAAAGAAACTACAAACTTTTAAAATTAAAGACATGTTAAGAA